TTCAGCCTGAAAACTGAAATACGAGGGTCTGCAGGCCCTACTCCGTTTCAGCCTATTTCTGGGCCTTTCAGGCCCAGAGTTTTTCCAGCCTGAAACGGAGGGCCTTTTTCAGGCCCTCATTGTTTTGACCACCCCTAAGACTCAGGCACGAATACAGGGTTTCGGAACAGGCCAGAAATAGCCTGTTCCTCACGAGCTTGAGCAGGAGCTGCAGCTGCAGCCCCTGCCTCCCTTCGGCATTGGCAAGAGCAGCCTCCTGGACTGCTCGCACGAGTCAGGAGGCACACCCGATAGTACATAGGAAGTTCCCATGCACTTCATGGGTAGGTAGTTGTCAGTAGGCACGAGTAGTCTTCAGGATTCGGCCGCAGCACTCAGGAGGAGCGTTGCAGTAGTCTTCAGCGCTAGGCAGTAGTATTAGCGCTAGTAGTAGTCTTCGGCGATGGGTGCCCATAGCCATAGTGGTAGTCTTCAGCGTTGGGCGCTATGAGGTGGTAGATTGTAGAGTTGGGGGAGATGGTTGGCAGAGGCCAGCGGTACTTACCTGTGGCGCCATAGCTCCAACTCCATCTTCAAGGTACCTGCATCAAGGCGCCAACTTCACAGGTTAGTACTGGACACAGAGAGAGAGAGAGAGAGAGTTGTTCTTCTTCCTCTTCTAAGTCCACCATCTCTTCTCACCCTCTCACCACCTGACTTCTCAGACTACGACAGAGAGAGAAAGAGTTGTGACTTGAGACTTGATGACATTGGATTCAGACTGGACATTTGGGATTCAGACATTTCGACGAGGGACTATTTGGGCCTGTGCCGAGACTTGGTGTTGACGACATTCCCATCTTCCCCTCATCTTCGTCTAACCCCTCCTTCTTCGTCTGTGTATGGTTGGGGCTGGCRCAGTCTTCTTGTGTGAAGCGCCAGACCCCCTTCACACCAGATAACAATGATGATGATGTGTGTTCAGGGCTGCATTGCAATATTGATTGTTCGGATCATTCGTATCTAAGTCTTCCGCTGTGTTATCTTGTACTTTGTATTGAGAGGTCGGTTCTTGTTCTGGTCTACACGTTACAGTATGCAACAGTTTGGTATCGGAGCGGACCTCTCATTCAGAGGACCCGCTCAATCAAGTAGCCAACTTGCTGATCTATTGATCACTCAGTAGTAACGCAAGTAGGACTTCGTCAAATCTCTGAAAATTTCTGATATTCGCATTTCGTTTTACCTGAAAATTTCTGATATTAGTAGTTTGTTTTTACGTAACAAATATCTGAAAATTTCTGATAAATCGCATTTCGTTTTGTCTGAAAATTCCCGATAGTAGCTTTTCGTTTCTCTGATATTTCGCATACGTAGCTGAAATTTCTGAAGTTAGTATTTCGTTCTCTAGGCATATTGGGATAACGATAGAAGTGGTCATATTCTCGGAAACTGGAATTATTCTTTTCTGAAAATCGAATTTCCATTCTATCTCGCAAATTTTTTTTAAAAAAACTGAAATCTTGCGAAGCCTACCAATATTGTGTTAGGCCTATTCGGAGGTCGCCATATTCTCTGAAACGGGATTTCGTTCTTTTCTGAAAATCGCATCTTTAATCCATTTCGCAATTTTTTTTTTCTTTCAAGATCGCAGTTTGTAAAAGCCGACACTTTGTGATCTCGTTCATAGTACTTTTCTGACATGTCCTACTCATAATAGATCGACAGATAAAAAAAATAAAAAAAATAAAAAAAAATGGAAGTAGTCCTCTTTTATTTTTTTATTTTATTTTTATCTGTTGATTAGGGCCGGAGGAAAGTATTGTTGGGTTGGTTTCCTACCTGCGTTTTCCCTCCCACCCACCCTTTGCATGAATGTTCGGGGTTGGTACAGTGCCACGTCAGACACAGTGACACGTCAGCAGGCCACGTCAACAGTGACACGTCAGCTACAGTGACACGTCAGCAGTGCCACGTCAGACACAGTGACACGTCAGCTACAGTGACACGTCAGCAGTGCCACGTCACACAGTGCCACGTCAGCTACAGTGACACGTCAGCAGTGCCACGTCATACACAGTGCCATGTCAGCTACAGTGACACGTCAGCAGTGCCACGTCAGACACAGTAACATGTTAGCAGTGCCACGTCAGACACAGTGCCACGTAAGCAGTGCCACGTCAGCAACATGACGGGCCTGCCAGACCAACTGGCCAATGAGCCTATTGCCGACTACAAAAAGCGTTTCCAGGCTCAGCTCGCTTTCATCGAGGCTGAGGAACAACGCCAGCTGGCAGCCGCGGATGCCCAGCTACAGGCTGAAGAAGCGGCAACAGCAGAGAAGCTGCGGCTACAGGCCGAAGCAGACGCAGATGCCCAGGCTCGCCGCAAGGAAGCCCAGGATCTACCGCAGCGGCATGAAGCCAACAACATCGAGAGACTCAAGTTCTGGCACTTTGAACCGAACGGTGACGAGGCAACACCGGAAGAACAGCATAAGGAGTTCATGGCCAAGCTCGTGACCAGGTTGGTTTATACTTGTAACCACCTACAGTCCGAGTTGGCGAACCTCCAGCGGGCCGCGCGGAACCATAAGACTCGGCACGAGGATGCCACACAAGCACTGGACGCCCGTGTACTGGACCTGGAATAGGCTGTACCAGGACCAGATGTTGGGGCTTCCAGCAGTGCATCCTCTAACCGCCAACTGGAGGAACGCGTTGACCACCTAGTGGCAATGCTAGGAGCCATAAGTGCCTTCACAGAGCCAGCCACCATCAGCCAGCGGTTCGAGTTGCTGGACACCAAGATCAGTCAGCAACAGCAGACCGACCACAGCCACAATAACAGCTCGACGAGGCCATACAAGATGTCGACGTTCCGGATCGAGAAATTTGATGACTACACATCAAGACCCGGTCGTCTGGTGGCAAGGATTTACAACGGAGTTGGGGATTCACGAGGTCCCTGACCATTTGTTCATCAGTGCTCTGTTCATCAACACCAAGGGAGGATGTCAGATTTGGCTCAGCCACATGGCAATCATCCACGGCGTCCAGGTTTCAGACCTGTACAAGAAGGTCTCCTGGGAAGATATGACAAAGGAATGGAAGAAGCGGTTCATCGTCGACGACGCCCCGACACTCGCCATCAACCGCATCTTTACGATGGCTCACGGGAGCACACCGACACGTGACTGGCTCACGGATTGGCAGAAGATCGTGGCAACGCCCGATTTGGACTTGCCATTTCCGCATCTGCGCCGTGAGTTCTACAACAGGTCATGCGCCGCTCTCAGCCTCGCACTTGGTGATCGCGAGCAGTACAACACGTTCGCAGAGATCATCAACAAGGCGAGAGAGATCATCAAGACCAACAGGGCGGCTGCACACGAGAAGTCCACGTGGCAGCCAACCTATGTGGAGAAGGTAAGAACTGGTCCGCGACAGCAGCAGTTCGCTGCAGTCCAATCGGACAGTGGAGAAGACCCGGCAGCCACTCCAGCATCACGTGAGGGAGATCAGGTGGCTGCCGTCCAGCTGCGAAGCAACAACAAACCCCGAGTGAACGGGAAGGCGAAACCAGCATCGCAGGCCGGAAACGGACAGCCAGCACCACCATGGGTCAAGTTCAGCTTGACCGAGGCCGAGTACAAGTACCGCAACCGTTACGGCTGCTGTTACTGGTGCAATATCACCAAGCACAAGACCTCCATTTGCCAGGATCAGGCCAAGGAGGATGTGCAGCCTCGCCTTAACTCGGGGAACTGAGTTGCGCAGGAGGTGAGGCGACTCCACCTCTCACTCCGCCAGATTCGGCCACCTTGCTAGCGGCCTCCTACACATCTGAGGAGGATGCGCATGTCGCAAGTCCTCGGTATACTTACGAGGATTATGCTGTCCACTTGGTTCCACCGCTGGACCAACCGCTCCACGTGCAACACTCTACCGCATGCACGGTTTCATCACCATCGGCAACCGATTCGGCAGCTTCGCCCTCATCTACCGCCGGGGATTCAACGTCATGGTCAAGTCTTGAAGAACTCGACCCGTTGACTTTTGAGGACTTCCAATGGATGCCCCTGCCCCGGTCCGGTCGATTGCCGAAACCGCATTGCAACGTGCTCAAAGCACAATTGCGGGATTACTTGCACACTGCAGTACCGACTCCGTTGATGGACGTCGGAGTAGAGGTTGTCGACCTTCACGCCTACATTGCGAAGATCGGCCGCGAGTTCAAGACGCAACGGTATGACGACATCGACGCACCATTGTTTTATGTACGCATTCAGATCGGAGAGGCGACCTGCAGCGCTTTGATTGATTGCGGACCATCTCGCAACTACATGAGTCAGGACTTCATGGTACGCGCCGGCCTTGGCCCACGAGTCCGAAGGAAGTCCCAGCCCACGAAAGTCACATTGGCGGACGGTCACACGCACAAGTCAATCGACCGATGCATTGAAGACGTCCCAATGTACTTTGCCCCTCACGCGAGTGAGGCGGTGTCCTTTGACATTCTGGACACCAAATTCGACATGATCTTGGGCATGTCATGGCTGCGAAGCGAGGACCACCCGGTGAATTTCTACCACCGCACCGTTCACATTCGTGATCGGAACGGAGTACTAGTCCCATGCACGGTAGCTCCTCCTCACCCTTCAGTCAGCTGTCACGTGGTATCCGCCGCAAGCATGCGAGCTTCCATCATC